TATTTGTGGACAGATTTTGTCCCAGGATTTCTTATGTATTTCTTCTTCTTCGTTGCATGATTTAGAATAATAAGGTGAGAAATGGGTCTGTTCTGAGTTCATCCTGCACTGCAGCAGCTAATAAAGTCCATTTAATCCCAAAAACGCTTTTCTTTTAGGCAGGCTGGAGCAGAAAACAACTCACCTTTCTCAAGTTGTACAGTAATGTCACATGTGTATGAAGGTGGATCAAACAAGCTAATCTTAAATGTCAAAGTAGAGAGGAGCCTAGTAGGCCTATTTATTTTCATTCATTATACAATATGAATAAGCTATGCAGACAGTTGTAAAGAAAGAACATCTTTTTCTTCTGTCCTCTACTTGTTATAGTTACACAGTATTAGGGGTGTGGGCTGTATTAAAAGTATCCACTGTTCTCCCATGCTCTAACACACAGTAACGATGAAATGTGTGCTGTTCTCACATTCTTCCTCTGTATGTACACATAAACAACAATGCAGGGAAATATAAAAGGAATTTATTTTATTGTTTGGGTACATTATTGTTCAGTGTACATGCTCACATCTGAAACAAACTTTACGTGCTTGATAACTCTCCCACCCCGCAGACATCTACACGCCAATACCGATTTATATTCATAGCGGCAAGTGCTATGTAGCTCCACATAGGGGACACAGGAAGTGACATATAACACCTTCATGCGGCGTCGGAACCGCGTAGGAAATTCACAGCCGCACCGGCAGAGCTCCAGAATATGCAACTCGGCCGGCTCACGCCCGGACGCGCTACAAGTGCGAGGGCCCGCCCAACGCTGCTTGCAGCTTTAATTTCTTCCTGTTCTTCTTTAGACAGTGCTTCTTTTTTGTCTGTTCACCCATGGTGGCTATAATCCAATTATTTTTCTTTCTTTAACAAAACTTATATGTGTTCATGTTACAACTGTCAAACAATAAAATAACAGTAATAACACAAAAATGTGATTTGATCTGTAAAGATGGACATTTATTAAAAAAAACAAACAGACAAGGCAAAAAAAAAACAACAACACTTAATGCAGTGAAGGTTTATGGCTCTTCTGGGGTTTAAAGGACATGATGTAAATGTACGATCATCTCATCGTCTTACACCATATTGCCAAATGTATGGATGCATTTGGTGCACTTCTGGTGTGGGGCCCTCTTTCTTTCTTTGGTCTGGGCTTCTCTTAATGCTACAGCATAGGATAAAATTATATTTTAGACAATAATGTGCTTCCAAAGTGTGCATAAACTTTGTTCTGTGAAGTCTGTTTCCTATCTCAAAATGACAATGCCCCCTGCACAAAGTCAGTTCCACAAAGAAATAATTTCCCCTGTTTTTCCACAGAAAAACTTGATAGGCCTGGACAAAGCCCTCCCTTAACACCATCCACCACCTTCGGGATGAACTAAAATGCTGACTGCAAGCCACACTGTATCACCCAATGTCAGAGGCCAACTTCACTAATGCTCTTGTGGCTGAATGGGAACAAATCGTTGCAGCAAGATCACAAAATCTTGTGGAAAGCCTTCCCAGAAGAGTTGAGGCTTTATAGTAGCAGATAAATGCCAATGGAATGAAATGTTCAACAATCACACATGGATATAATGTTTAGTTGTCCACATACTGTACATGTAGTATAAATCTAAATAGCTAGTAGAGCTTTGTAAAAGGTAAAGTTGAGTGCATGAATGTATGGCCATAAAAGCTGACAAATGTACAGTATGTGGCAGCCAGACCATAGAGTACCTTAAAAGTAATATAATAGTTAATCTATTATAGTCTATGCTGGAACCAACTGGAAGCCACTTCAAAAAGGCAAGTGATGTAATCTCTCTCATTTGTTCTGGTTCAGTTTCAGAGAAAAATAGTAATACATTTTGGGAAAGATAAAAGTAAAAAGACCCTTTCCGAATCAGAAAATTCTACAAAACAAAAGACCACATTTTAAGTATTGCAATGTAATAAAAATATGACTTACTTTAATTGCAGTGCTTGATTAGGTCCAGTATTCACTGTAATAGATCAGTAAATGGGTCTGTTTCTTGCTCAACAAGCTGCGAGAGGAGGTAAAAAGGTACAGCAGTAAAGATACAATATGTGGGGTAGTTTAGTCCAAAAGTTGCTGGGTAATACATTAGATTTCTACTAAGCCTCCTAATTCTTTTGTCCATAAATAGTCTATACAGAGGCTCGCAGGTATCAAGGCAAATTTGTTAACTGTACAGTTAATATCAGCATTTTTTGTGCTATACAGGCTGCTGGTTTATAATATTGGCACCTTTTTTAAATCCAGTTCAATCACTGTATTATCTCTGGCAAAGCAGACAGTGACTGTTAGTAATTGTTGATGTTTGTTGAACAGCTAAAGGCTCACCCTTAGAGAGGCACGTACTCAAAAGCCATTCAACCCCCTATTGTGTAGATACCATCTTCGACAAATATGCCCCTCCAGTTAATAAAAAGTAGATAAACTATGAATATTTATTGTTCTCAGAAAATTCCACCATCCCCTCGCATGTTTACATTTGACAGCTGCAGGGTACAAGTGCAGATTTAATCTTGGCTGCGTTGTTTTCTTCAAGGGCGCACAAAGTAATTACTCAGAGGAGGGGAGGGGCTCATTTAAGCCATGTGTTTGTTTCTTTTACCGTGTCCCCCAGATACATACAGCTTAAGTTGGATCATTAGTAATTCAAACTCATTAATTTCCATCTAACAGCATGTCTCCACTACATACTGCAGCCGTATATTCCTCAAAGGTTTAGGGGTAGGAGAAAAGAGATAAAAGCAAACTGTCAAGCAGCAGAAGTAGCTATAAGTACGATCAGTCATTCACTGCATGTCTTGCGACTGTATACAGATACTGCATGTGTGTGTGTGTGTATGTGTGTCTGGGGGGTTCATTAGCTCAAAGCTATTTACAAGGAGCATAATACGCACGGTTAACACACACCAGCCTTTAAAAATACAGTAAACTGCAAAACAGACAAGATAGTCAAGACAATTTTATTCACTGTAAATTATATATCACAAATAACAGTTTGCCACAAGGGGCTTTCAAATCTGTAAATCATACGACACCCTGACGTCCTTGGACCTGTGATTTGGAATAATCCCCCCCAAAAACACAATGGAAATAAAATGGAAGAAATCTCCCTCTCCCAGGACAGACATCCTATAGATGTCATGTGTACAGTGTAGATTCACAACGGAAAATCAATCATGCAGTATATTTTCTGCCTACATTATTATAATTGAAAATGTCATATTCATGGTTTAAATTATTGATGGGAATTATAGAGGCCAGACTTATAGAGGCTCTGTTATACTCTTTTTTAAGCGTACAGGGGTTATTAGGTTTATAGACTCAAAGACATTGGCTCGGCTCAGCTCAGCAATAAGAGCCGGCTCTTTCTTCATCTACAATACATTGAAATATGTCATATTGATGGTTAAAAAGTGGGATTTGTTGGAATATTCTAGTTAACTAATATCCTATCCTAGTTGTATAACATAAAACTTAATAAAAACTGACAACTCTGTACAGACATGCATTTGAAATTATTTGTAAATGCCAAGAAATTCTACAGAAATGCCAAATCTGGAGTTGACATGTTTTGTATTTGTGATAATTAAAAAACAAACAAACATAATCTTATATATTGATATAAACTATCAGAAATTGTATCTTGCATTATTGGCTAGTTGTAGGATTTGTTGCTTCTGTTTTTTAAAGGATTGTTTATTGAATTTGAAGACAACACAACCAAATTGTAAACAGTAATTTTAATTATGCTTAGTTATGCAATTTGTGGACTAAATGATAGATCAACTGACAAATCAACAATGACAGTAATCTGCCCAGAAAGCCATGTGCCTGGAATGAAATGTAACATTTCACACACTATCTCCTGGCAAGAAAACCTCCGATTATAACCACACAGCAGGTTAAGTGACAGCAAAAGCCCTTCAGCAAAGTGTTCAAGCCAGTAACACATTGTGCTGCGTGAAGGACACATTGTGACTGACAGATTGACAGTTACACTCTGCTGCAGTCAAGCAGACAGAACAGGCTCTGGCTCAGCTCAGTGCTAGTTCTCTCTTTGATTTCCTGTGATGTTTCACTACCACACTGAATAAAGTAATTACTGGAGCTTTTATGCCTTGAAGTTTTGACAGAAATTAAGACCCAGATGCTGTATTCACCTCGGCTGCCCCATTATTTTTTTTTGTCCCAAAACAGGAGATTCGCCGGTCACCTCAATACTGTAGTTTTATCCATTTCATTTGTGGTCCTCACAGCATCACAAAAGCTACGTATAAATATCTCACACAAGTGTGCGTTTCCATCTTATACTATGAATAATCCACACCCCTCACTGTGGACAACTACTTTCAACTGAAATAATAAAAAAACAGTTTGTTGTATTTATTGTTTTGTTTATTGGTCATTTAATGTAATTTTTCAAGCTCTACAATCTAAATTCCGTTCACCTTTACTGTAAAGAAGTGGAAGCAAACCATATCCAAATCCCCTGCATAGCTAGATATGAATAGAAATGAGGTTAGTCTTTTTTTGTAATTTAGGTGAACTGACCCTAAAACTCCCTAGAGCAATATTTACTCCTTCTACATATCCAGCTTTTTATTCAAATTTAATGTAGTAAACCCAGCAAAGTAAAACACATTGTTACAAACAAAACCCTTTAATTTTCTCTACATTTCCCCAGACACTGCTTCGGTACATGTGCAGTTGCATTAGTTGCCGTGCATATATAAATTACATTACATCGACAATTTAACAATAGAGTTATTTTGGAATATTGGATTTAAATTTGCAACTCAATTTTGGGACTTTAAATTGGATTGGGACTGACCTTGACATGCATGACCCTTGCTGCATAGAACAACAGGACAACACTGCAGGCATCAGCTTTACTGTAAACATGTTGCAAACAGACACAGTAGAACAAAAGTGATGAGTTGTCATCTCACTTTATTTAATAACCTTAGACCCCCACCACTATAGGCTATTGCATAAAAAAAAAAAAAAAATCTTAAATCGTACAAAAATCAGTCACTCCGCAAAATGAGGTGAAACAGAAAATGTTGCAAACGGGATGCTTTCTTGAAAGCTGTACCTAGGTTTTTAGGGCAGACAGTTGATTCAATAGGTCATACATGTTTAACCCTGACATCGGCTCTGTTATTTCAAAGTGGAAAACATCTATGATCTGTTTTACATGTGTGAGTACACATATTGAAATTTAGTAGAAACAAAATAATGCACCATGAATTTAAAGCATACTGTCAGTGGTAAACAATAACATCTACAGCATTGGCAGTGCATATAAAAATAATAAATAACACTGGATACAAGTACATTGTAAATCTATGTACACAGCATTTCAGGGATAAACAAGCTCAATGCATAGCAGGCTCCTTAGTACCACCACAGTGCTCCTAACTTACAGTAATACAGTCTTCTTTCCTGTGATTCCACTATCAAAAATTGCACTGAGCAGATGCAAACGTTATTGCACTGTGAAGCAACTGAATAGAAAGGCTACTACAAAAACTTCAAAATGTGAAACATCCCAATGATATTTTAGTGCCAGGAAGCTAAAACAATGTCATCACTGTGGAGCAGGATGAAGGGGGAGATCTGTTTTCTGCGGTGAAAATTCACCCTGTGAAGTGGAAGGAATAAGGAACACATGATGAAGCCCAACGCTGAGGATGAGTGTGCGTCATTGTTGACCGTCACATAAAACGTGTGAAAACGATGTGTATCGGATAGTTTACCAAGAAAAGCAGGAAGAACATTCCTCTCTAATACGTCTGTAGTGTCTAAAGGATGGGAGACAGGGTTGGAGATGCGAGGAGGTAATGTGACAAAGGGAGTAAGATAAAAGTCTAGATGAGATCACAATGTAATTTTGAGGTGAAGGCAGCTGTGAGCACAGAGGCTGATGATGCAGTGGCAGGAAATGCCGAGTGAGATCAATAAAGATTAGAAGACGTTGCTGCAACAGAACTTAAGCTTGGTGTTCAGTGTGGAGGGTTATTTTGCTCTGTGTGGTTTGGGTTATTTTGAGGCTCACACTCTGCAGCTATCATCCTGCCTTGAGGAAATCTGGGGAACACGTCACTTCCTTTAATTGTCCATGATACAATCATTCTGTACACAGGAGCGAGTCACATTTAGTGAAAAAAAATCCAGTGATAAACAATGACTATACATGGAAAAACAAAACAAATATTTATAACTACTGCAGATTTACGATATGTGAAATCACATTCAGATGAAGCACACACATTGGCATCTACATCTGCCATAGGCTTTAAATAGATTATCCCAAATTGGCTTTGTGCTTATTGTTACATGAGTTTCATGTGCAGATTAACATTTCCCTTCTTTACAAGATTAGTGTTAAAACAACAGGACCATGCAGAGCGGCCTGCAAACACGTAATAAATCAATGGAATAAAATGACAATTGATTAAGAATACACATCTCTAAGGGGGGGAAATGCAGTCTCATCCCGGAGCATTAAAGAGCTCTATAAAAGTAGTCCAGCTATAAATTACAACAACGTCAATCACCACTTAATATGCGCTCAATCTCCTCTAGTCTCTTCAAGGCAGCTGCTCTTTTTTCCTCTATATCTTTAATCTCTTTAGTGGACTTACCCTTAGTCCGCTTGTCAGACTGGCTGCTGTCCAAAGACTCCGATTGGTCCACACCCACAGCTCCGAGGCTTTCTGCAGAGGATTTCCGCACATTCTTCTCATCCCCAGCCCCCTTTCCAACAGCATCAGCACCCCTCCCTTCCTCCTCACCCTCAGCAACCTCCTCCTCCGCCCCCTCCTGAACTCTCTTCAGCTTTTCCTCCTTTGCTGACATGGTAGCTCCCCCTGCTGAAGTAAGTGGTTGCCCTGCTGCGCTCATGGCAGCCATTTTACTTCGTACAATACTCAAGTGACGACGCACATACTCCTCGTTTGGTGCCAGGGCCAGTGTTTCCTCCAGGCAGCGCTCTGCCCGCGGAGGTCACGCTCCTCAAAGTAGACCACGCACAAGTTGTGCTTGCCTTGTACATTGGTGGGGTCCATGCGCAAAATGCGCTCAAAGCAGGCTTTAGCACCATGCGTGTCCTTCTTGTGGTTCATGAGGATGTCACCCTTCAGAATTAGGCCCTTGATGTGCTCTGGGTGGTGGCGCAGCAGCTCGTCCAACACAGGCAGTGCATCCATCTCGCGTTTTGACTGAGAGTAAAGCAATGCCAGGTTAAACAGGGCACTGCGGAAGCCGACCTGCAAACCAATGGCTTTACGCATCCACCTCTCAGCTGCTGCATTTTCATTGGCATCCATGGCCAGCATGCCGAGGTTAAAGTAACCATTGGCATCTTCAGGCTCCTCCTCCACATAGGTCAGGAAGCGACGGTTAGCCTCAGGCCAGAACTTTGGCTCACCTACCACAGACAGCAGACACATAACATGACAAAGGGATGGACGATATGGCCAAAAATACAGGCTAAAAAGTTTCATATCTTTCGATATCGATAATTATCACGATAAGTATCAAATTGTTATTTCTTTCGAGTTTCAAGGCTGATTTTTGCTCCTGAGTGAAAGTTGAAGAAACCTGATGGCTAATTGTGGTTTAAACACTTCAGGCCAAACGGTGGATCACTTCACAAATCTGAGGTAGACCATTCAAAACAATTCAGATAAAATCTTTGTCAACAAATATGCATGAGTAAAATTAAGTATAAGCTTTTTTAACTTGTGTACGATTGAAGTGAATAAAATCAAACATTTATTGAATATTTATTTAACATTTGTTATATTGGTATTGGAAAAAATATATCGCGATAATTATTGATTTTTTTGTTTTTTATTTTCCAGCTCTAATATGACATGTCATATACTTTTATAAGGGTCTGATGAGGCATCACCACTATGTAAAAAAAAAAAGGAAAAGAAAAAAAGAAAGAGGGGCAGTGAGTCAGAAAGTTGAACTTAACACAAGAGACATAAAGGAGAGTCTGTCTATCGTACTCCTGCCCTGCCTGTTGTTCAAAACCTTGAGAAATTTAAACTTCTCCGAAAGCAGCCTGCCTGCGTAATAGCTAGTTGCAGCTGGTACGATTCAGAAAAGTGACACGCAGTAAGGCTTTAACAAGTTGTACCAAATGTACCAAGTCATTTTTGTTAATTCTTTTAAGTTAAGGCATAATGTTGATAAATGTTATGAATGAAGCGCCAAACTATGCTGTACAGCTCTACAACACAGAGTAGAAGAAGTAGGAATGTGATGAATGAGAAGAAAATAATTTATTGTATGCCCTTTCCGCTTTCACACCTGTGTGAAACCTGGTCACCTGCTCCAAGAATAATGTTACACAGAAGAACTCAGCTCTCCAAACACTCAAAAAGAGTTTTCATTCTGTCTGCACATCAAAGGTTGACAGGCCACAGAGTCAAGCTGAGGTGAACGTGCTGGAAAGGGAAAACACACTGACAAGAAATATCGCTACCTTAACTCTTTGAATTTTGTTCAAACCACCCTACGTAAAACTAAATAGACCTGTCATTCATGATGTTTATAGCCTCAACAAAGTGCTCTTTACTGCAGTAACCTGCAGCAGGAATCTGCTGGTAGTAAAGTGCATAAACACTTTGGCAAGATTTACTAAAGAAAAAAAAACATGGGTGGAAAAGCCAACATTAACCGCCTGAACCTCCAGTCAAACCTGTTGGAAATATAACTGCTTATTAAATGTTTCTATTGTCACAGAGTTGATGAAGCATTACCTAACTGAAACTTGGCCATGAACTCATTGCAACACAAGGGCCCGTCATAAAAACCTGGTTACACCCTAAAGGTAATATCAGGTTATTTCCTTCGTTCATACCAGCTTGCATGAAAGCTTCAATAAATTCCAAGTAATGTTTTCCACAAGCCAAGTGTCAAAAAGCATTTATTCCAGCTGGAGACTGGATTAGATTTAAACTATTCACTTCCTCATTTCAGAACGGGCAGACAGAACTCACCAGACTCCTGCATTAGAAGTGCTGAGTTGAAGAGTGCCAGCTTGTGGCGTGGGTTGAGCTCCAGAGCGTGGTTGAAGTTTTTCAGGGCTTCTGATGGGTCCTTCATCTCAATGTTGACGATGGCAAGGTTGTACCACAGGTCAGCGTTGGTGCGGTCAAGCTCCAAGGCTCGGAGGTAGGCATCCCGGGCTTCTGTGGGCTTGTTCATCTTCAGCAGCAGCTCACCTCTAAGTCAAATACAATTCAGAGTCTTACTGGCAGTGCATCTTCAGCGTTAGCGAAAATGAAGATTCAGTGTGCTAGAGAAGAAAGCCAACAAAACTAAAAATGTGTCACTTTGTTGATAATTACAGTCAGCACTAGAGGTCTGCCTAATGTGTGCTCCCAAACAATCCAACAATCAATCAATTAAAAAAAAAAAAAAGAGTTAGTTTTCAATGATCTTAAAAATATAAAATGTTGTGGTAGGCCTTAGTTTGAAATTATTGTATTGTGTGTGGAAACAACGTAGGTTTATAAATCAAATATAAAAACCGTGCCTGCTGATGTAGGCTTGTTTGAAGTCTGGTCTCATGCTGATTGCTTGTCGGTAGAGCTGGTCAGCCTCCTCCAGCCTTGATTCGTTGGCCCGGATCAGATTGGCCAGGTTTATGTAAACGTTCAGATGATTAGGTGCCACACGTGTTGCATACTTCTTACCAGGAATAACCTGATGAGTGGTCAACAGAGAAGTCATTGGTCTAACTGCTTTGGTAACTTAGAAATACAGTGAATTCAAAAGATGGCAAGATCAACCCGAACATGTTGGACAGATTTTTCTTAACTGGCTTTGAGAGTAACAATTAAAAAAAAAAAAATCTTTTTAATTATACATTACCCAATTATGGGTAATGTACCTCGTAACTGTAAGCCTTCTGACTAACACCGCTCTCAGACCAGTTGGGAGCTGCCTCTTTAGATTTGAATTCCAACTAGTGCATGCCAATACTAGCCCTAATGACACATGCACACAATGGGTGTCTACCGGTAAAGATTTTGCAAAACCGTTTCCACAGTAGGAGCTCAGTGTTTCCCTGCCCTAATGGAACACCTGCCCCCCAAAAGAAATGAACAAAATGTGTTATCGAGGACGAGGCACGCAATCGCACGCACGCACATGCACACACGCACGCACACGGCGTGGAGCAGAGAGACATATGGTGTGGACGCTACTGGAGTTGACAACAACTCATTACTTTACATAATGCTGTAATTCAACCATGGTATTCTTTTTTCTTTTTTTCAACTGTGGTATTCTGTCAGGAGATGCAGTGACTTAAACCAACAGTTAGTAAGAAAAAGCGAAAGTAATATTTAGTTTGTTAAGCTATGAGCAGAGGAAACCTCCGCTAGCAACTAGGCTAATTTAAGTGTAAAATGATATAGGTTAATAATGGTGACTAGCAAAAAACAATAGTTTTGTCTATGAACCTTGACAGTTATACGTTCCTCGACCACCAAAGCAGTCAACCTAGGGGAAACTCTGCTTGGTGTCTCTGCTGTATAGCTGGGGCAGGCAATACACATCAGGGCTAAGATAACAAATCAGGATCTATTACTGTGATATTTACCGTTACCGAGATATATAAAAGGACATAGACTGTTACAGAAGGTTTTGGCCCACCCCTTATGTGACATGATGAAATACCTGTGGCATAAGGGATTTGGCAACCAAGTAGGCATCTTCTGCCTCTCTGGACTTGTTCAAGTTCTTGTAGGTTCTTCCAACATTCATGTGAGCACCAATGTCATCTGCAGAAACATTGTAGGAAGTAGGCCACAGTCAACATACGTTAGGGGTTAAATGTATTTGAACGTGTTTATACCACATTTCTTTGTTTTAACATTCCACAAACAAACTAAAATAAGTTTAAATAATGAGAAATAAGACCTTAAAGCTGTATCTAAGAGACATTTCTATAGCAGCCTTGAAGCAAATCCTTTTGGGAACCAGTTAGAAAACTAAGGGGTTGAAAGGGGTCAGTCAGGACAAGCAGAACTGATGCTTGATGATTAGCATAGCAGGAAATCCTCATCGCGTTAATGCGTTTACATTGATAATCTTGGGGAAACACTCTTGGGTGGTGAACCGGCAAAAGTGTTGAGGTCTCAGCTGATGATAGGCTTCCTGAAAACTGAGCTATGAAGCAAAACAGAAATGCTGGGAGACAGTCAACATACTGTAACTGCACATTTTATGTACTAAAATAACATACATTTAGTATAAATTTGCCATGTGCTTAACGTCATAAGTTCTTGGGCTATAGTTAATGGATTCATAAAGTTGGCTGTCTGTTTGGCATGTTTGGAGAGACGTTTCTGGAAAGTGAAATGATCAGATAAAAAAAAAAATACATAAACACAAAGCCCCATGGACTTGAAATTGAATTAGAAGTCAAGTCATTTTTTGGAAAGGTCAATTGTTAACTATATACACATTTAAGTATGTCTCCAACAGTCAGTTTCAAGGAAAACAAGAAACTGCATTAACAGCAGCTTTTAGTGATCATATGAACAATAGCCTTTGTTAGTCTGTTTCACGTAGTCACGTCTATACAGCAAGATTAAAAAGAGCTCAAAGCCTTAAAGAACACAGGGTGGAAACACTAACAGAAATACTTTACAATACATGAATATCCCTTGAATTTTGTAATAGTATAGTATAATGTGCAGTGATGCAAATATAATTACCCTTTCCACATTAAATAATTATACAGTGTTTGCTGCACTTGTAAGTATAAAGGTATGTAACAGGTAATCAAGAACCAGTTAAAAAGATTATTTGACATGGCCAAGCAGAATTTCTTTTATTGCATTGTTTCTATCACGTATGTAATAACTGACGAATGCCTGATTTATGTTTCTTACCTGGCTGGACGCGAGTGGCCTGGAGGAAATACTGCAGTGCCTTTGCGTAATTGTTTTGGTTCTCTAGAGCGTGGCCAACATTATTCCACAACTTTGCATTGTTCTTGTTCACCTGAAGAGGCAGACATTAAGCATCCATCCATCATTATTAAAGTCAACTGTTAGATGGTTTATTCAGACCTTTTATAACAAGGTGACAAAAGATTTGTTTTAACAGTGAAAAACTGCCAGGAAACACTGGCAAGGTGGGCCAAGATACTCCGACAAAGCTGCCTTAATTGTCTTTCCAGCTTACCTTCAGGGCAGAGGTGAAGAGTGTGTATTCTGACTCCCAGTCCCAATTCCTGTTGAAGGTTTTCGCTGCATGTGTTGTTAGTAGCACTGCAATTATCAACCAGGAAATCTTCTTCAAGTGTCTACAGAGGAAAATGTAAAGAGTTTTAAATGATATTGATTTGGTAATACAATAAATCAAAACTTAAAATTTTGAGAAGCTGATCATGTTGTGAGTAATAAAAGGGTGCAGTGTGTTCTTTAAATGAATAGATATGACTTTGTACATATGTAATAAGGTCTGTATTCTTGCGTAAATGGACAGGTTATAATATTTATTCCCTTACATTGACGGAGCTGCAGTAACACCATTATGGAAAAGCACTCACCGTTTATGTGACACAATCTTGAATCCATGCGCAACAAGAACACAGAAACCCATACTGGGAACATAAAGTACCCTCTCTGCCACAACAAAACCCACAGGGAAGAAGAGGTTAGACGCAGGAACAAAGGGTAGGACGATCAAAGACAGGGCCTGGAGGAGAAAGACAACATGACTTGAACCGTCTTGGTTAAACATGTGTGTCAATCATTCAGAAAATATTAAAATGATTCCACTAGGGCGGAAAAAACTTAGTCAATAAACCAATTAGTCAAACTATTTTCATATTCTAATACACAATTTCAGTCATTTTTAAATCAAAAATACCAAAAACTCTCTGGTTCCAGCTCAAATGAGGATGGAGATTTTCGGTCGGACAAAACAAGCAAGTTCTCAATGGAAATTAGAACTGGCTTATAAAAAAAACCTTCAATAGACAAAGGGATTAATCTATTAAATGAAACAATTAACTTTAGTTTTATCAATAATTCAAATAATCATGAGGTCCTATATTAAGCATACAATAAGCGCCTACATGCAATATCGACTGATGTTGTATCAGTTGTTAAATGAGATATGAGCAAAAGCTACAGACAGACTAAAATCAATCCATCCAAGCATGTCTAAAATCTGCTTGGCTGATGCCAAGAGATCTGATCCTCCTGCACAGGCTGGAGCCTGAGGGTTTGTCAGTCTTTATATATAATTTTCCTTCTGTAAGGGTAATCTCACATAGGGTGTCATGTTCGGGTAATTTTCTGAGCTAAAGTAAGCCGGAGCCTGAGACTCTCCAAAACTAACTCTTTAATAATGTGGACACACAGTGAATCTCTGTAGGTCTAGGAAGGATACATACTCCCCACCAGGATGTATGCATACTGCGGATTTGGTTTGGCATTACATTGTGTTCTCGCTCTGTACTGCTGATGCCTCTTTCTACCCGGCCGGGCATTAAAAAAAACTTGCTGTTTAAGACATCCTCAGTTTCCAGAAACCTTCACCATCAATAAGAGGTTGGTCCCAAGGGGTCTCCAACTGCTTCTTAACACATGGGATGGTTTAAGAGCAGAGGATTAACTCAGAGCAACTTATAAGCAGAATGAGTAGGATGTGTTGGTTGCAGTTTGTAAACACAACATTCAGAGTTGGCCCCCTTCCTCCCCGGCTCACAAACACTAAAAAACGAGGAGACAGGGCACTTATTATCACACTCTGGAACAATCTACCAGAGGACATCAGGCTTGCAGAGTCTGTTTCTGGTTTGATCTCAGTTCTTAAGATACATTTCTACAAATGTGTGATGCACATTTTATTTTAGATTGTCTTGTTTTATTTATAAATATTCACTGTGTGTGTTATACTTATTTTTATTCAACTTGCTTTAAATCACTTTGTTACCTGTATTGAAAAGTGATATATAAATAAAGCTATTATTATTATTATTATGAAGTATGAATGAAAATAATCATTAGTTGTAGCCCCAGCGCATACCCAGCAGCCACCGCAGGTAGGAAAAGGGACTTCGCAGTGAGTCCAGTGGACAACTGTTCTCTAAAACAATTTGGGACATGTGGGACAGCTGGCAGCCTTGCAGTAAAGCTAAGTAGGTTGATGTGGTATGATATTATTATGTAACATATTCCAAAATTCTCTTAGCAAACTAGAGTAAACACAAGAAAAGGTCATAATTCAGTTTATTTTGTCTTGATTTGTTGTCCCCTTTCCTAAACTGAAGCTAAGAGCAATACTGTGAGGAAGTTTACTGACCTTCAAGTAAGAGAGTCATGGGCCTGTTGCACAACAGATGCTAATTTGTTCCTGTGTGCCACAATGAATAATTGCCATTCATTCATTCATTCCTTCAAAGCTCAAATAAGAGCTTATGTTTTATTTCTCTTCATTTTTGCAGGCCGAAATTTCCTGTTTTTGTTTTTTTTACTTGACATGCTAAATAATAAAAAAAAGCTTATTTGATTATATTAATCAAGATGGTAAGACTGTTCTGCAATCCCACTTTTGTCTCAGCGTGCAATTAAACAATGTAATGTAGCATACGTCACAAGGATTATGTTACTAATAAAAAACAAAATGTGAAAAACAAAGTTGAGAACCCACACACTACAGTAATAAAATGAGGATCTAGCAAATGGTCAATTTTAGCATTTGCTGGTTAACACAAGGAACCGCTTAGGCTGATAGCTTTGATAAAGCCAGTTTCTTGCCCTTATGTGGCATGACACTTTTTTAAGGGTAAAAACACAACATTAGTTATTTCATTTGTGAACAATTTACATCCAACGGAGTTATTCACCCAATCTGAGGAGTTCAGAGTGATTAGTCCCATGTTAGTAATGGAGGAAAAATTGCCTAGCATGTGAGAGTTCCCGAGGGTAATCCACAAAAAATTGGAAGCCCTGTGTTTGCAAGCCCTCATTTGATTCACAAGGAGGAAATCTGAACAATGCAGAGACACTAAAATGTCTTTTCAATTTCAAATTTTTAGATATCTATATATTTATATATGTTTATGTTTATTGTTGTTGTGTGCCTAGGCCCCAAAAACAATTTTGTTTATGGGTATCTAAGACATACAAATCTCACTTTTTGCAAGCAGTGTTCTTCAAGTCTGGTTTATTATGGATTATGCACTGCAACTTTGACATGGATGGTGCTTTGTAGCTATGCTGCTTTTGCAACTTTGGTTGGGTATAAAGATGGTAGGTAGAGTGATGTTGTACTTAATTCAACAAACATCATTTTGTTGGCCATGTGTCCAAACAGTGTTATAGTGTCATGACTACAGCATGCTGTCCAATACAGCAGTCTGACCTCCGAATTGTGTTGAACATATGAAAATTGTGACCATACATATTATAACAAAGTACATTGTAATAATCTGACCAAACTTCCTCATACCATGATGACAGTCTTGGCAGAGCTGTGTCTGTAGCGCAGGCTGTGGTAAGCTAGCAGGGACAGAGAAGTGTAGAACACCAGGGTGGCCAGGTTACGGAGGTCTAGGAGTGACTCCACCAGAGGGATGGTGCCCATAGTCCAGTCGCAGCAGAGCTCAGAGGGATTCAGTAGAAGCCATGCATTCACAGGAAGTAGGTAGTTAAAAGTCAGTTGTCTAGTGGGAGTGGGGCTGACTGCTGCCGGGTTATCAAATCTACAAGAGAGGACAGAGAAGAAAAGTTAATTTTACAATAAAGCATGGAAGCAATAAAAATATTGGTAAAATGGTATACTGGCATGACATTTGTGAGGAAAAAAAACTAAGACTGCAGAAGAAAATAATAAAGACCTTTTATTTAAACTTGAATTTGAAGTCAACTTCAAAGCTGCAGACAATCTACAGTAAAATTAGTGATAAAAAAAGTGATCACAATAATCTTGTGTCACACTATAACAGCCACGTAGGCCCACTGTATCCCACATCTGATTTTTTTTTTGTCCTGGTTGAACAGCTGTATTCTGTAGATCTATAAAAACAAAAACTATTTACATCATCTAAATCTATCTATGCATCTTACGGTTTACATTTTCTAAACTTTACTTGAGTGTAAGATACCCTCATTCTCTCTGTTATCATGGTGAGCCCCCAAAGCTTTCCATAACAACCATAATCCCAACATCATTGGCTGGGAGATGAAATCTCATTGTTTTGCCCTTTCAAAAACCCTACAGTCTAGCTGTAGGGCTAAACCAGTACAGTTGTTCTCTATAATAAGGCTAAAGGGAAGGCCATGAGGCCTTCTAAAGTAAAAACATTATCATTATATGCATCATTAAATATGAGTGTGCTTAGCAAATTTCATTCAAATATTCCCATTAAATAAGATAAAAGAGATTCCTTGTGTAAAGTTTAGAGAATGTCCAAATTGGAAAGAGGTTATCCACTGGAGTGCTTATTATGTGTCTATATATCTAGTTAATTACATTGCAATCTGCCTATTTAAATGATTTGGGGTGCAACTGAAATTCGGCATGAACATAGTAGTAAAGGAAATGTTGGGTCAACAGAAACATTAGCACTTTATGATTAGCACTTTATCATGGACCAAATTGCTGGCCAAGGGTAAAGTCTGACGTGAAGGTGGTCTTCAAAGGCATTAGGAACCAGTGACTAGGGACAGTGAACATCTGTTTTAAAACTTCATGGGTTTTTGTCCAGTAGCTGTTATATTACACTTGATACCATTGTCAGATGAAGGTCAAGACAGTGTTTATCCTACAGTCACAAAGAACATGTTTTGTCTATACAGCTGCCAGAGACACCCGCACATCCTTTACTCACATTTCTTTTTGGGGTTTTAACGTAAGCACCTCCAGCCTGTATTTGTATGTAAACTGCTCTGGTACAGCAGGTAGTCCAAACTTGTTTTAGAGGGCCACTAATCACAACTGGGATATTGATAATCTAAATGTGCAATATTGTTATGGCTTGAACAAAGAAAAACTCTCAGACAATCTGGAGACATCTTTAGGATTAACTGCTAGAGGATTAGCACATCTAGGCTAATTGTCTGGAATTTTATCTTCGTGATCAAATGCCATTAGGTTGAGTCTATCTTAAATCCTGCACAGACCATTTCAAAATAGCCTGGACTCAATAAACTCTTATGGCTGGGAGGACAATGTAGAAGACCTAGCACGAGACAGCTAGATTTGTAAAGTCTCCAACTGAACCCCCTCCCATTTGTGTCAGAGTTTTTGATTAATTGACTACTGTTGGGGTGTAAAGAGAATTTAAAGTATAACAAAAGTTGCTTCTGTACCTATCTGTAACCCAATAGAATTAACATTTGGCCTTTGGCATAGTGTTTGTCTGTTGTTTTAGGAATCTTTAAAAACAGATCTTTATCTACATAAAACTAAACTGAAGAAACAGAATGTTTAGATGACAATGTCCTCATAAAGACAAGAATTTGGACATAAAAAAAAAAAAAACACTAGATTTTCTCTTTTTAAATTTAAGAGGATTAGAGGGAATAGCTTCACAGTTGTTTTCAGGTTGCTCTGGCTTTGGCCTTTGAACTCCCACACAACTGGTTGCTTTCAACATTTGAGATCAAGGAATTAGAGCTACAACTACAATGCAAATGTAAGTATGTTTAATACATATTTGATACAGAGCTCTACACCCTGCAAAATAGATGCAGGACTTTTAATCACAGCCATCAGCTACAGGAAGTCAGAAGCCATGGGAAGATTTTCTTCTTTAATCAAATAAAGACATTATGTAAACTATTACATAATCTGAAATAAATAAAGAACCAGACTAGTATAATGTGTTTATATAATCCTGCAATCTATTTACATTCAAATCATGACTGACTGTATTCCACTGCCCTTTAGTATCTACAAATGTCTTTTCTTTTAAGTGCAGATAAGATACAGCAGCTATTGAGCTAGACTGTTTAAATATTTTACTGCAAACACTCCACAACAAATTGAAATTTGAAAAAAATAAACGAGTATGTTTGATTTGTAAAATCAATTTCTGACAAACTAATAAAAACCCATGTAGTTGACAAACAGGAAGAAATTCCTTTAAAGGCTGTGTGACTGAAATGCAATTTAAGCAGCATTTTGCTGCCGCCAACTGGATAATGCATACTACCTGGTGAAGACAGGAAGCTGGGACTGGATGACTTGCACTCTGATGATGACGAGCAGCAGGGTGCTGATGATGAGGACAATGAGCTTCAGCAGAGTTTGCAAGACAGCATAGGGGAAACCATCTTTACCCTGCAGGACTTGCCGCAGTGTATCCAACAGCATGGGCAAGGTAAACTGAGAGTAGCAACAGGAGAAATACGGTTAGGAAGAGTCAACTGAACTCTACATTGTAAAGGGTTCCTACACACTTTGAAATTTAAATGCCACTTATTTTTTACACTTTCAATTTAAGTTTTTGATGTAAAACATTTTAAAATCTAGCTTTTCATTCCATTAAGGCTAGTTTAGGGCTTAGTGCTGATTTAATACCTGTCTGATGTGAGATTAAAATCCCTAATTCAGGTGGCAACTGCTTGTTAACACATCTCTCAATTTATGTTTAAGGCAAAGTCCATAACACAAAGTCAGCCATGCTTCGATGCTGCAGGCGTGACTAATAGAAACAACCAAGAGCCTTACCCCTTGTGCAACAAACACTTCATGGACACAGCAGATGCCGACTACAGTGATTCCCTGCTCCTTACACAAAGTTGCTGCAGCCACTAGAACAACTGTCAAAGCAATGGGAGCCCAAACTGAAAAAAGAAGAAACAGTATAGACAGATAAAAGACAACTTATAAACACACTTTTACAGTTAAATAAATAAATATAAGCCAGGCATTAAACTCCTGTCTTTGCCTTCATTGGTAGTGTGGGTCCCCGCGACCCTGTACGCAGGATAAGCGGTTGACGATGGATGGATGGTAGTGTGGGTGTTGTTAATCACAGAACATTATGGAAAATGCTGACAGAATAGTGGAATTTCATAATAAAAACAGAATCAACTGTAAAATGCAGGATCTCGTGGAATCTGACAAAATGTGGACACATTTATAAAAATCAGGGTTTCCCCTAGCATTATAAGCATTTTTTTACAGCACTTATTAATAGAAAAAGCTATACTGCTATGTTTTAGTGTCATTTACAGGTAAGCTGCTTCTGGTTTATTGGTATTTCACCAAGGGCGGGGCTCTCTCTCTCTCTCTCTCACACACACACACACACACACACACCGTCATATCAGACAGAGTCAATGTGCTAGCAAGAGCTCTTCACTTCAACAAACTCTCAAAAAGTGCAACGACATCAGCAGATGCAGACCATGAGCTCGCAGAAGACTGATCTGGTATTTTGTTACAAGACACGGACATGGTTGATATTTTACAAGTACAGAGCAGGTAAAGGAACAGTGAACACACCAGTTTCTATACGCTTTGTCATTAACAAGCCTCCTCATCAGGTCTACATATGAGTTCTGTGTCTTTCTGGCAACTTTATAAAACATACTGCTGAAGGAGAAAGTCAGTAGAGCGGACAGATACAGGAAGAGAGAAACAGAAAGCAATTGTATTCATCCACCACATGATTACAAAATGTTCTTAAATAGTGAAATAAAAATTACGGAACCTGGTTAGGAATTTAAACAGATTTCATAGGGCCCGATAACACAAACTGCACTTCCATGAACCCTACGTCCATCAGTGGCAATGGGGCAAGCTGACAGTTTCAAATACCTTGGAATCACATTGGACAATAAACTCACTTTTGACCCACACACCACTGATATCCACAAACGCTACCATACGCAGACTCAAAGCACTTTGTTGCCCCGACCTTCTGTTAAAGCCTTACAAAAGCATAATTCAACCCACAATACTCTACTGCTTCCCCTGTTTTCTTAGCATGCTGTCTGTCTCCAACACGAAGAAGTTGTCCCATATTATACACACTGCTTCAATCATTGGTTTCCAAACCCCCAACGTGATCTCACTATCAGAGCCATCACTCACATGGCACTCGACCCATTTTTCACTCTATTCATATCTGGGTGTAGAAACAGGACACTCAGATGAAAAAAAAAGAAAAAGGCACGTTTTAGTAGAAGTTTGGTCCCCCCTGTCATTGCGGTGTTAAATTCCATAGCTCACGAATCATAAGAACACACTATGTTTTTCTGTACAAATTTTTTGCCCCATCCTGATTTCTTCTATTTTTGCATATTTATCACACCGCCCATCACTGACTACCAATCAGGTTGCAGCATTTCAGGGATTACTAGGTCACTGAGTTAATAGCTATGTAAGATAGCTAACGAGCAGGTTTTCAATGAGAGGGGAGAGACTGTTCAAGAAGCTGCCTGTTGCTGTTTTGTGTGCGTGCAGCTATTAGTGCCACACCTTTTATCAGTAATAGTATGGTAGTGTTTCACACAGAATGACAGTGTAACTGTGGTGCGGGTGTGTGTGGGGGGGGTGCGTTCATCGATATTGACTACCAATAAGATGGGTTGACGGCGTTGTGTTGGACAGATTTGTGCAGCGGTGTTCCATGAGGGAGAGAGGGCGAGAGAGAGCGAGAGAGGGACAAGCGAGAGGAAGTGCTGCGCCAACACGCTACGGCGCTCTGCAGTCAAATACGATTTTAAATAGGTATAGTAAAAAAAAAAATATCGCACATCAATATGTGGTGGTCAGCGTTGATATTGTGGAGGGCCGCCACAAATAAATGAACGTATGGGAAACACTGTATGGTTTATTATCAGTTTAGAAAGGCTAATAATGTTTACTATGCTGTTCCTGTTGGTATAGTAGTTTAAATAAGAACATATTAATCTGTTTAGAGCAAACAGTTTAACAAATACTGCATTTATTCTATAACATATTTTTCATTGCTGCTAATAAGAGTAATGATAGAATTCATATATGTTCTCTTAAGTTGTCAATTAATTTGCTACTGATTATGTATATCTACCCATTGTGTAGATACCGAAATGTATTTACTTTGGCTGAATATTCTTGGTTTAAAGCTTTTTATCTGTTCTTTGTATAGGACCATACAGTAACCAACACGTGGATAAGTAGAATGTGTTGACTGGTGTGGTGACAGTACCGAACCAGAAATGTAAAGATTATAGAAGTTAAGAGTCTTTCTTTCACAATTTGGTCTTCAAACTAAACTGAATATAGAACAAAGACAACTCGAGTAAACACGAAATACATCATTTCATCTATTGAAGGAAAAAAAGTTATCAAACACCCATTATATATTACTTAATAACAGGTTAGGCCACCTTTAGCAGCAAAAAACTGCAAACACACACTTCCAATGACTGGATCACTGAAGGAATACTGGCCCACTCGTCTTCTACAGAATTGCTTTAATTCAGCCACAGAGGAGGGTTTTCAAGCACGAACTTCCCATTTAAGGTCCTACCACTGCATCTCAATTGGATTCAAATCAGGACTTTGACAAGGCCACTCTAGAGGTGGATCTGCTCTTGTGCTTTGAATTGTTGTCTTGCTGCAAACAGTCATCATATCATGGGGGTTGCTCCGCTTTAATCTTGAGAACCTGCAGAGCTGCAGTCTCTATTCACTAGTCATTGTAACTTACACTGTACATTTACAGCTAATCTAAGACTTAGCGTTGACCATTTTCTCTATGCTCTGCTCGCCTGCCATTCACCGGTCTTGAGTTGTGCATGCCCGCTGAGAATTGCATGCATGTCACAGTTCCTATTCTTTGTGTGTTTCATCAATGGTGATGATTGATTTGAATGTCCCACGTGGTGCACGCACAACTCGCACAACACTGACGCAGCTGGTGCTCTGTCTCTCTTCTTCTACCACAATCACCACGGCTCAACATTGTGATATCCGTCTGCTATGGGTGATGGACAACGGCATTGTCTATGGCCCAAACCTATTAAGAAGCTTCTTTCTTCTCATAATTTTATTTACAGCATTATTATGATATTTATATCATAATAGGCTGTATAATAACTTATTAAATCACACATTGAGTACCCCCATTTAGCCAAAATGGCTTGATTCTCGTTTCATAACGCCTCTGCTAAGATTCTATCAAAGCATCGAATCTTCGACTAATCAGCATCACCCCTGTAATAAAATAAAAATAATTTTGTACTGGCCTCTTCTTTAAGCTTGTCTTCAAAATAATACTTTATTATCTCAATGAAACAAATGTATACAGTATGTGACACAAAAGGGCAATTTATTATTTGGGCTGTTAAAAAATATTCTTGGCCGATGTGTCATAAATTGATTTCAGAAGGTGAGTGGTTGGCAAACAACCGTATGGTGCATTACTACCACCAACTTGAATGGAGTGTGGATCGGGAAATGCATATGCAAGGACCTCTTAAGTATGTCTGAGCAGGACATTCAACAGGACAGGCAGTAACAAAGCTTGATTGTGTCTAGTCTAAATGAACGCAATTATCAATATAATTTGGTTAATTGGTTGAATGAGTAACAAAGGGGGACAATTACTTTTTCATACAAGACTAGTTGGTGTTGGATAACCTTTATCCTTTAATAAATTAAATGATCATTTGAAAACTGTATGTTGTGCTTACTCAGGTATTAAATTTAGTTTGAAGATCTGAAACAATTAAGTGAGACATATGGAAAAGTAGATGAAATCGGGAAGGTTACAAATACTTTTTCATGGCACTGTAACAAAAAAAAAATGGGTAAAAGATTAGAACTCAATTGTTTTAATGTCAATATGGAAAACTGTGTCCCTGAGATTGTGACAGTTTGGTTTCCTACCTCTGTCTTTAATGTCTGCAAGAATGTCTTAATGGAAGGGCACGTATGGGTGACTAGCAGGATTGGACTGGTAATCTGGCACACCGGGAAAATGCCTGGTGGGCCGACAAACCTTTGGGGCTGGTGTAACGTAAATTATTTATTTATACAACTGTTTTTATAAAATGGGCCAACAATCAGCCTGTAAAGCATGGGCAGTGGCCCACTGGATAATATTCTACACCGACACTTGGCTGGCCGTATCACATCTCTTACTGGCCCTGCGCCCCCCGCCCTGTCTGTTTCTTGCGTTGCAGCCTCCCCCCAAAAGATTCTTCAGACGGAGGCCGCCAAATGAGCAAAAATAACCGATCTGTTTTCTTCCGGTGCAGCTGCAATACCCAACGTAGAGCAAGCACAGACACTTGAAGGAGTAAAGGAGAGCCATGGCCACTGCCAGGCAGAGGAGGAGGCATGAGACACCGAAGCAGAGGGACAGAGAGAGCAGGAGGAGTGTTGAGGTGAAGCAGTAAGCATGAAGTAGCTCAACCTGTAGGGAGGGAGCAGGAAGGTAGGGTCATTTACACTAGGGAAATTGGGGACATGTCCCCACCAATTTTTGAAATGGCAAATGTTGTCCACATCACTTTTAAAAAGCATCTGTTAAAAATGTTTTTAAAAAACTTGCACCAAGAAATGTTAATTAACAAATGAAAATGCTTTGAGAAAGATTTATTTGCACAATAAAAAAAACCTGCAACGCAATGTAAATGTAGAGGAAACATCTGCGTTTAGGGTAATGAAGCTAAAAAAAACTAAACAAGGTAGGCCTACTGACTACTACATTATATTCCATTATTTTTACATTTTTAATTATCAATTGCTACCTAAATTTTGTGTTTCCCTCAATATTAACAAAGACATTTCCACCAAATTGGTGCAGAAAATGTCTCCAGAATGCAGGAAATTAATTGTTTAATGTTCAAAGTCTTCTGGGGGACAAACCACCCAGACCCCCAATCATATTTCATCAATAAATATTTTTTGTAAATACTATGAAAATATTTTCATGTCATGTTCTCAAGACCCTAATCTAATTTGGTAGGGTGTGTGCAATGCCATAGTGACAATAATGATGATTACTTCAATTAAAGTAAATGATTATACCATAATCATAACGCTATCATAAAGTGAGACTGTCACTTCTGCTGGTGATCGCTGACTGTCATACAGTGCAGCATGAACTATTTGACATTGTTTTTGGAGCATAGTTTCCTAATGCAGTCTTAACTTCGGCTAACTGTCCTAATGGCTGAGGTGAGGTTATTTCCCACGCTGCTGTGAAAATGACTTGTAGGCTACTTGTACTTGAGTATGAGTTGTGTACTCCTTGGACACTGACCGATTGTAGTGGGCCTCAGGAACCCAAAATGCCAGGGCCTATTTCTATCCCAGTCCAGCCCTGGTGACTGGTGGTGAATGATATGCAATAAAACCCAAAACAAGCAAATAAACTATGATTTTTGCTAGGGTCTACCCTGAACAAGCATGTTCATTTATGTCTGGAGAATAGGTAGGGGCATCTCTGTAGCGCCACAACCAGAATAAGAATCAGAACGATCTTTATTGTGTTTTACACATGAGGAATTTGCTTTCGTGATAAGGTGCTACACATAGACAAACATACAGTTTGACTTAGTCATACTGCGATTTTGATAATATTTTGATTACAGCCCTACATGGGAAATAATTGCGAGATAAGTGCGAGACTAGCAAAGTACATTAAACTCACCAATGGAGTGATCTGCACCTGTTGATTTTGTGTAGGCCAGGAAAGCTGCCAGGAGGAAGATTGAAGAAAGAAGTTCAGCTCTGCCAACCACACCTGTGACCTGATGATAAAAGTGACAGCAGTCAGTACAGTGGCCCATCCATACTGATGTATTTATTATTTGTTCATTTTAAGTTTCACTGACGTGCAGAAATTTAAAAGTCTACCAAAATAGTGCATGTTCAATTATACATATTGAAATTATTCCTTTCCTGATTAGAAGGTACTTCATGAATACCATGCTGTTTTGCCATGGATTCTCAGGTATCAAAGAGGTCAGAGCTTCCCACCAGCACATGACCCTCCATCCCCAGGGGTCAACAACAACCTCAAATAAATCCTCAACCTGTAGGAAACTGTCAGTGACAGAAGTGTAGCAGCAGATCCCACAATAGGATAAATTAGGGCCACTGTAGGTATAAAAAAAAAGTTGTAATAATAATTACGGAGCTGGGGGAGGGGGTAATAGTTGGTGAAGAACCCAGAATTTGCAGTCATAAATTTACACGAAAAAGTTTGGATATTCTCTGAGATTAAATGCAGAAATTTATAAAGGACTAAGATATGACACATGCTTTCAAGTGGCTGTGTCCCTCATATCTGCTTAACTGTCTGAAAGCTCCATCTCTTATGTCAGCACTGACACTTACGTATAATTAACTCTTAAAATGCACTTTTATAGTCTAGCCTCCCTGTCATCCTTTATCATACCTTCCCACACCATTTGTCTAAATAAAGATTATTATTATTAATGAAAATAATTCCCCTCCCCATACATTCACCACTTACTTTAATCTTGGAGTGTTTTCGTATTACCCCTCTCCCACAGCTCCGTAATTATTATTCAGTTTTTGTTTTGTTTCTAACTGTAATGGCCTAATACGTGGTTGTATATTCCTGAAACACCTCAAATTAAAAAATACAGAGTAACGCTGTGTCTAAAAATGGCTTTAACCAGTATTCACACATTTATGACCTTAAATCCAGCTATGGAAACAGCAGTCTCTCTGACAACGTCTGTCATTTGTGTAAATGATGACTGCCCTCGTGTGGAAGAAATAACATTCTTACACCAAAGAGTTCTTAGAAATAGACATACCCTAAAACCACACATACAGCCCCACAAAGGGTTTTACAGAGCACTTTACAAAAGAAGAGTTGTGACAAGTAGGCATAAACATCAAGATTCACAGAAGGCTCATGCATCGTGCTCTCACTGGCCTGTTAATTGTCAATTGGTGACAGGAAATAATTCACTGGCTGCCCATTTGGCTGCAACTAGTAACTATATCACTGTGTCCTTTGAATGCTGTGGCCTGTAGAAAACCTACCGCTAACTTTATCGGGCAACCACACTACTGCATTAGCTCACTTAAAAAGGTGGCAAATTTTTTTATGTAGGGACCATTTTGCTACAAGGATACTAGGGAAACATGTATGCCCCTGTGCTACATTCCCTGTTTTAGTGTATTTACAGCGATTTCTGTTAAACATAAAGAATGAAAGTAAAGGACTGCAACAGGGAGCTCCTCCACACTAACGCACACACAGCGAAGTCAATGGACAGCGGGGCAGAGAGACCAAGGTGAGGACAGTGAAGTCAACCAGGTGAAGTAAATATAACTTGAAGATTATGCTTGTTACTGAACGTGCAATAAAACCTTAGATTAAAAAGCCAATATGTTATCAATACACCAGTTCAACAAGCACAAACATGTGGAAAGCAATATTTTGATCTGCTATGTCTGCGGTCTCTCATCCCCCGCTGCTTTGTTTTACCCAAGCACAGCGCGCTAGCTCAGCTAAGAGCGAATTGTTACAAACAAGCTAACTCCTCCTACAATCTAACACATTCTTGTAAACTTGGCTGCTGGCTGACAAAACCAGCCCCTCCTCTCTCTACAAAAAGTACTTGCTGGCAGTGAATAACATCAGCAGCAGAGGGAGGAGGACAGGACAGGAGGAATGGCTGATACGGACTGATGTCTGTGTTCTTCATTCATTCTAAACTTCATTCGCTATTCTGATGTCATGAATATTAATTATTTTACTGACATTTCCAGTGAGCTATTATTGAGTTCATACAGTAACTTTTTAAACATTACAGTTGTTGTTCTAGAAACATTTAGTTATATTTAAAATATATGATTCTAATCATCTATATTCTTCTTTTAAACATAAAAAAACAATTTAGTAAGCAAAAAGAACCAATAAGAGTATCAACAAGGAACCGAATCGATAAGGAGTGTTGATAAGAGCAGTAGTGTCGATAAAATCCGAATGATACCCAACATTAGGCTAACTATGGTTAGCTCAATTTGGCTGAATTACTCAATGAGTGTGTTCCCCCAGTGCCATTTTAAAAACTTAAGATACTGTTTTGGAGTACACTAAATAATTTATATTTGAAAATACTTGGAGATACTAAAAAAAAAAAAAAAAAAAAAAAGAAAACAACAGAAGGCTCCATTCAAAAACCAAAAAACACACTGAGAAAGACATGGGAACGCACAAGGACTCTTTGTACACACTTATCATGAAGGGACCTTCAGTGCTTGGAGCATAACTCAAAAACAAATGATCTGTTCAGAGAAAGATTCCAGACGACGATAACACGAAGGGCATTTGCTGGACTAACTCTAAGGGCTCATTTGTGAGGCAAATTGTTTCCATTCAAGAAGTCTGGGAGACTCTGCATAGATTAGAGAACACTATGAGGAAGATTGGCGCAGTGGTGCATGCTGTGTAACAGTAGCACTACACCCCAAGAGTGTTTTCTTTGTTTTTCTACTCTGGTCAGGGCCTGTCTGGTCATCAGTTCAGCTATGTTGAATAGGATAAATTACATGTCCTAATTAGGGAAGAGGCTTTTCAGACAGGCTCTATAGAAGAAAATGAGATCACATTCAAATGATATATAATAAGCTAAAGGTTTTTGGTTCAATAAACTTTGTGGTCCTCATAACATTCATGATAAATGGCTGTAAGAACTACCTTTAAATTTCAAAAACAATTTTAAAAGATTTGAATGCAGCACAAAAGATTGTCTGTAGTCAGAAGAAAAGGCCTGTTAATCAATGATATAAAATACCATGCATGTTAACACAGTCCACAACAGGGGAGAGGATGTCTTGGATAAGATAAGGTCACACCCTGAGCAGGCCACGAGGGGCAGGGACTAACAATATGCTATGCTGACGGTTTTTACACATTCTTTTTTTTAAAAATCATATGAAAACAATGTGATTTTGATGGAGCTTATTCAGCTCTAAAGGTGGGTGTGATTGTGTGGAGTAAGGCCACAGAAGCGGTGTTCAGAAGCGCCAAACCTGAGGCATTTCCCGAATATGATGTCACACCCTGCAGACAGAACTGGTGGGCATGTCGGAACTATACTGAGGTGGTGATGTTATAGCAGCGATGTAAGCTGCAGAGATGTGATTTCCTAATGCACCTCCCCTGTACAGTATGTACATATACACATGGCTTATACACTACATATTAACAGAAGCAGCCAAGAGTTCTGACCTGACGTATTGGCTCTTATATTGTGGTTGCAGTTAATGACACTGTTGTTACTCTGTTTGATTATATAGTACATATAACATAGAACATATATACCTGTGAACTAATCTTGGCATGTTGTTTTGGAGGCATTTTACACAATATATACAGGAGAATGGCACACTCGTAATGCTTTGTGTGGACGATGCTACTGCAAGACCACAATCTGCTAATATACTGCTTCAGCTTTTCCCCATCCCCACTGGGCTTTTCCAGTGTGATGGGCCATCATCTGGAGAAGGAGCTTCAATTTTGAAAGGGGCCTCCCTTCCTTGAGGATAAATGCTGGGTATTTCTTGCCAACAACTGAAGAAGTCATTTAAAGACCCCATAAATTGGGTACTTCAACTTGAACTAAAAAAAAAGAAAAAAAAAAAAAGAAAAGAAATGAAATGCTACTTCCAAGAAAACAGTGTCTCTTCAGTGGTGACCTCATGCTGCACTGGTGAGCATATCTGAAAACCAATAAGCATCACTAATTAATTTCTATCCATTACTAATAGCCCATTCATACACACCGGAAACTGATCACTCAACAGGACATCACATTAAAGGAGACCTATTATGCTTATTTTCAACTCAATAGTTTAATTATGGGACTCCTCTAGAGTAGCTCTGCATGAGCCAAAGTTTATTCAAATCTCGAATTATCTCCTTTAAAGGGTGACTTTCGAGGGACAGCACCATTGACTGAAATGAAGCCAAAACAGCTGGATTGCCCCCTGGTGCCTGGCTGTAGTATAGGTCATAAACCCTGCCCCCTCCACATTAGCGGGAGACACATGGGTTAAAAAATAAATAAATAAATAATAAATTCATAGTACACGTCAAATACATTTTTCCCAAAGATCATTTTAGATAGTTTTCATGACAGTAATGTAGGACTCTACAATGCGAGTATTTCAATTGCATATGCCCCTAAAAACAGATACGTGCGAATGGGGAAAATTATTTATGAACACAGTGTGTGAGTAAAGACTACAATCCACCGTAATCTTTCTTCAGCTTTCAAAATGTTGAACTTGTTATACATGAATGGTTATGATTACTGACAAATCAGTACTTAGCATTAAAAAGTTAGAGACTAACAACCATGTGGGCCATTTTTCTTGAGAGAGAGAGAGAGAGAGATTATACAAACAGAGTACTATTAAATTAACATTATAGGTTTTATTTAATGTTATTATATTATACTAATACACTAATTTATACTAGTTACTCATCCTGGTTGTGGATAGTGCATCTGCAGTGGACAGATATAGATTTAGCAAGAACCAGAATGCCACTGCGTCAATTTGTGGTCCTTCTAGCCAGGCTCCTCATAACAGCAACAGGTTCTATTTTACTTAAGTTCTTATTATAAATATTTTTTAGTAACCCACAGCACATAAAGTATGTTGTGGATTGTGAAGGTGTATTGTGTATTTGTTCCTGGTTCCTGGCTACTACAGGCCCCACAATCCACAAGCCGCACCAATCCCAGTAGAGATTTCATTGATGAGTGTTTGTATTCATTGCGGTGTTTCCCATTGATTAACGAGACCATAGCGGCTCGCCACAGTCTTAATTTGCTCTGCCATAGTTTCAAAATGAAATGAAAATATTTTTACACATCTCATAATAACATTTCAGACCTCTAACGTTGTGTTTTGGGTGCGCTGCTCGACGGTGTTGTAAGATCGCATGCTCACACACTTTGGCATCCGACTCGAGACAACCACTTTTCTTTTGAGGTGACTACGGTAACATTAACAGTCTGTTTCTTTCACTCGTTTGTAAGTTAAGCTAGCTGTGCCTAAATTTGGAGTGCACACGTATTCAACCTTAATGATAAATCCACTGAAACGGACCAGTACAAGCTGACATGCAGGTTAGCGACTTTATCCTGTCATTTTCTCTCTTTACAAGTGTTGCAGTATGAGGGTCCTACCTGAAGAGAGGCTATTAGGTATTCATGTTACGCGATACGAGAACCACATACAACATAATTTATCAAATTGGGTAGGACTAAATTTAACGCAAGGATACACATGTGACAACGCCCGTTTTTTTTCACCGTGCTCCTAAATTATTGTACTCCTTGGAAAAAAGGTTAGCATAGAGACCTGTCATGGATAGTCATGTGTAAATTTTACTGATAAGTTCAGTTTTAATTAGTTTGATCTGATGCTATAAACAGAGGGTTTCACGTCATGATTTACAGCTGAGCCCAGCTCGTGAATTGAGTTGGTCAGATGAAAACAATAAATGCCGCTGGAGTGGAATGTTTCTGAGGTCCGTGCCTCACTGATTACTGTACAAAAATACATAATTTTTATAACTTTATTTATTGATTTTGGTGAAACTAGATCAAATTCTATGGATAGATTATTTTCTGGTTATCCCTCTGACGTCCTCTGCCTCAACTCTCTGTGATTTAAGGTCTTTCCAGATGTACAGTCAGTTCTAAAGTTACTGCCAACTGTTACATCAGCTGTAGTTAGCTAAGTTATCAATGCAGCTATTCCCTATTAGCTAATAGGACCTGCATGGCTAATTGACCTAACTACTTCACTGTCAAGTAAAGGCATCTGTCCATTAAGAAACTAACTGTCCTTCACAACTGAAAAAGCACTTTCTGCTATACATATGGAATACTCTCCAAAAACTTAAAAAGTGGTCCTGAGCAGAATGGTCAAATAACTTGAGACTGAGCGGGTGGATGGGCGCTACTTCGTGCCTACATAAGTTGCCTTCACCCAGTAAATGTTCACTTACAGCTTCCGTGTGGATGGGGTGCACAGCAAACAGCAACGCTGCTACCAAGCCGGAAGTCTTGTCCAGGAACAATCGGCACACTCGCAGGAAAAGCACACACACTACGGCGTGTAAAATAACATTAAGCAGATGGTAGGAAGCGGCGCTCAGCTCACTGAAGAGGTAGTTCAGTCGGAAGGTGAATACGGTCAAGGGTCGGTAAGATTTGTGGCTCCGCTCCTGTAGTTACACACAACATATACACAATATATATTCTGTAAAATACACATCAGTTGAGAGACATTAAAAGGCTGACAAATGTGCTTTCAAAGTGTTTTCGATGCTTTAAATAAATAAAATTATGATGATGAATGACTCTTCAAATAAGTTAACAGAAGGAGGTTGCAATTGAATTCCTCAATGTTTGGATGGACAAATACAGATTTAATTGACATAAATAATACTGCTTACCTCAGCCATAGGGGTTCCCCAGAAGTCATTGAGGAATAGGTTGCGGAGTGGGGTTGAAGGCCGCAGGTCCTTGTTGTCAAGGATTGCTGAGACATCATCAAACACAAAGCCGCACGACAGACTGTTCCAGTAACATCCTACCACCAGTCCAGTCAAAAGTAAAATCTCCTTCCATGACACGACAGCCATGGCTAACCAAAGCCGTCATTGATCACTGTACAGGAAAACAAAGAGGTCATGACATACATCAAAATTAGCTGACATCACGATGTGCAACATGAACCTTGTCTTGATTTTCTGATTGAACTTCCATTTTGAAAGCAACAATTCAATAACAACAACAATACAACTCAGCAAAGGACTTGGTGTGGTAGCTTTATAAATCAACCTTATCCACTAAGTCACATAGGTTTTATACCAAAAAATGACATTTCTTCTTATGCTGCTTCCTTGCCACAGCACTCACTCACCGTTGTGGCGATTTAAAATATATGGTGGCAATATTATCTCTCACATTTACCACCCTGTTTTGCTGATTTAGATGTGGATTATTCCAGACTCAAATTTGGTAACATAGCCTAACATCTAAATTACCGTAAGTAAATCAAACTACGGGCAGGGATATTAGTTCGCACACTGAACAGTCCGGCAACCGGTAACTTAACAGTTACAGTGACAGCTGGCTGCAAAAGCAATTGAGAGTGGACATTAACAGCAATCTAAAACCAGTGCAAGCTAGTATTACCCTCCTTAAATAGCTATCTAATGGCATGCGTTGGTTAAATGAATAAAATCACCATTGCTATCGCTCAATCGCGGCAATATAGAAGTACAAAAAGCCCCAAACAACATGTTCTGACGATTTCAGACTGTTAACGTTAATGCTAACTTAGCAGCTAATGTTAACTAGCTTGATACTATTCGTTATTTCGGATTAAGTGGTCGCAGATGTATTTTTAAGTATTTCTTAAATTTCCAACCTACCGTGTCTATAACAGGGCAGATGGGTGACTGCAGAGGTGATGTTAAAAACTTGGAATGGTTACACATACGGAGTGCACAATTCAGCAAGCGGAATTCAACTTATGAAAGCTAGCTAACTAGCTAGCTTCACGGCTTCATCACTATCACTTCCGGCGCAGAGGTGACCGCGGAAGTTAAACGTCTAGACGCGATGTTTTTTGACTCAAACCCAACACGAAGTGTTTAAAGTGCGATTTCTAAGTACTTGATAATGGTAACGTTATATCCGCAATGTGTGAATGGTCCACTCGCTGATGTTTACTAGTTGTAGTTTCTTGTGGACAAGCTTAATAAGCTAACGTTAGTTAGGCAACTGGCGCTTTTGTTGTCAGCGGTAACCTAGCAGCATCCGAAGCATCAAACATCATGGAAACATCAGGATGGCTGTTCAATGTAACCTGCAGCCTATATTCCGCATCTAGCCTGACGCATCTTACTGAACGATGTTAAATAAGACATTTCGTTTAACTTAGCTAGCTAACGTTAATTAATGAACACGAGTAGCAGTTTGTGCATTAACGTTTACGTAAATTGCCTACGTTACTTAACGCTATCACAAATGTAGCTAGGTTAGCTATTAGCTAGCGAAACATGTTAATGTGGCGTTAACGTCAATAAATAAAGCTTTGATGTGCACGGCAAAGTTTTGTTTAGTCAGGTAACGTTAGTTATCACTGTGCTGTCTGCTCAATTCCTGGTGAAATATTCACATACGCTATGGCCAAGATGCCCACTGCTCTTGAGTGGGATAAAATGACGAAAATTGACCCAGCGAGCCTCTATGATTGTGAAAAAGAGCAAGTGGACGAAGTTTTCAGCATGTTCGTTTTGGTAAATGTCTACACTTCACTCTGATATTAATTAACGTTAAACCACAAATTTATGCTCAGCTGCCTAACCACCAGCTGCTCTCTGACTTTAAATTATAACTTGAGTATAGTGGTAACGTTACTGTGTGTGTTTAGCCATGGCAATGGTTACTTGCACAAAACAAGACCACTGTCCTGCTGATCTGAGATTATTGTTCAGGGTGTTACAGCTCATTGGCTCTGTCAGCAAAATGTACTTATCCGATTGTTTTCCTTTGACTGTCTCCTCCTGTGGTCACTGTTGACCTGGATATCTCAGTTCAGTGTGCATTATTGGCATGAATGTTTCATTTAAACACTTTTGCCAAAGCAGTTTGCAACTAAATCAAAAAAGTTTACATTTGAGTATGATAAACAAGATTAATCCAAATAAGACCATTCAATTTAGTTCTCACATTGTAGTCTTACATCTGCATACATTCCTTGTTAAACTTAATGCTGTCATCTGAACTTTAATTGGTTTAAAGAAAAGTTTAGATTTTATGTTCAGTATATATATACTGGAATATAGTCTACATCCCCCCCACCCTCTCTCTATGACCTCATACTCTCTTGTTTATGTGGCTATTGTGCTGTATCAGAATAGTATTGTTTTGCGTTTAAATTACTATGCATTTTATCTGTTTTTTCATGTAGACAGAAGAATGGGAGGTGAAGGATAAAGCCCCGGAGGACATTATGCAAGTCCTCAGAGTGTTTCAGGCCCTGTTGAAGGTGTTCTGTCTTGTTATTACTATATTCTGATCTCTCCCACGCACATCTATCAGCAACCCCACTAACATATATAGTATATTTAAAGAAGCAATACTATTTAGTTTAGAATTCACATTATTGATCATGATGCTATTTTGGAGGCATATTCTTGAAATTCAACAATTATAAATTGTCATTTTAGACGTGATTGTCTTCTCTCCCTCTGCCTGTTAGATCAAGGATCGGGATTTTACTGTTGCCGTCAACTTTATTGATAAGATGGGTGTAAAGCATGCTAAAACTGGTTAGTGCACATATGACGTTTAGTAGTCAAAATGTTTCATATGTTCAAATTTACGAACAAACACTGTTTACATTGTTAATTATGTCTTCTGTACTGTAGAAACAGAACTCCTCACCAAGGTGTCGAGGCTGGAGCAAGAGTGTAAGGTAATGCTTTTCAGCATCTGTAGATCTGCATACTTACATACTGTATGTTTGTATGTGTATGTTACTCATTAAGATACTGAGGTGTTTTATCACTGGGATGTATGTCAGTACCAGTATAAATGTGAAAAAAAACTTAAGTTAATATGACTTTAAAGATAAAAAAAAGTTAATATGTCTGACTGGAAATCATCCTTCATGCTTTATTTCTGGCAACAGTGCTAAATCTTTTAACCAATCATAGTGTGTAACCCTGGGTACAAAAGGATTGGTTGTTGTGACCACTGGATGACAGCACCTAAGAAGATTACAGCTAATTCCTTGCATGCTCACAGCCATTGCTTCTATTAACAACTTGATTATAATTTAAATGTTTTAAGGTTTGTATGTTATCAGATTTTCCACTGTCCCCGCAGCAAAGAGAAAGTTAAGCCTTGTTTAAGGACTTTATGCATTTATATATAAGTGTTGTGAACAGATGGAGGTGATGTGAGACTAATAGGTTTCTTGGTGGGGGTTGTTTGGATGTCTTGTTTCCGGTCCATACGGCTCAGCACTCCGGCACAGGGCCAGACACCCGCTTTCTGAGAGATGAGATCCGGCAGCTCGAGACCCAGCTGGAGCAGAGGGAGAAGGAGTTGACCCAGTTAAAGAAAGAAATGGGCAAGGAAAAGAAAAACAATGAGGAGGTATGAGCACATTATCCATAATTCCCATGCGTAGCATAGGACTGTAATTAGTCCTTGGATTACCTACAAATGTTAGTTCATACATAGCTTTCAACCTATTTATAAAGGTGGTGTGTAAACCCATTTTCCTTAAGGTTTTAGATGGATAAGACCATTAGACCTTTCAAAGGTCTAGCATCTACCATTCCCACAGGGAGATTCTGCTTCTGAGCTGTCTCTAAAATGTTTTGTGTTCGTCTCTCTCTATCAACAAGCTGTCTTTGACTGATAAACCGATTGGATCTGGATTTATTAGATGTGGTATAATTAGTTATTAGTATAATTAGTCTGGTAGCTAGGACATTGAGGATAGAAATTTATGATATGTGTTTAAACAACTGATTGCCCTATAGGATGAACAATCTGTAGGATTTTTACCTGGCTAATATCATACTGTTATCCACAGAAGTAGAATAAGGTCATACTGGAATTCTTTGTAAAACTCATTCGTATATCCATCACTACCAGGAGACTTATGTATTGTGACTTGATTATATGATTGTAAATCTCCTCCTCTGATATTGCCTTTGTAAAAGAGATATCTCTCCATCTCATTGCGAACCATTATTCATACTTTTTTGGTTTGTTTTTCTTTAGCTTCTCTACTGATACCCTTTTTTTGCAGTTTTTCGAGTTTGTAGGCCAACACCTTAACTGCTCTGGACATCATATGTTCTTTGTCTTACAGTGGACAATGATTTTTCTACTTCCTTATTTAAAAAAATCGTTTATTGCTGCTTTAGCCTCTGCTAGCTGCTTTAGGTTCTTCCATACTGAGGTTTCTCTAGATTTTTTAATGTGTTTTTTCCATAGACTGTATATTTCAATTTTCCTTTTGAGTGATTTCCTTGCATGTTCTTTTTATTTATTCATTAAAGAAGCATAGGCTATTATTTCACCCCTTATATCAACCATTGCTCCTTTCATAATAGATAGACAAAGGCAGAGTTAATGGGGCAATGTCTAACATCTTTATTATATTATTTTTTCTAGATATCTAAAGGTACCAGACAGGGGGATCCGTTTTCCCTATTGATTTTTGTTTTATGTATCAAACCACTGGAAGAACATATTAGGTTAAAGCAGAAAATAAAAGGCATAAATACAGCAGGAGAAAAATAGTAATTGTCGATGTACACAGGTGGTATATTAATTTATCTATCTCTGGCCGGGACAGTTGGTTAATGAATTAATGAATTTGGAGTCATTTCAGGGTATACATTGAATGTAAATAAATCAGAAGTTATGGTTATCGGCTGTACAATCACTGATGAAATCAAATATAAATTTGCATTCTATTGGGATGTGGAAATATTTTTAAAAAACTTTGTAGAATTAAAACTTAAACCTTGCAAGCTTACTATGACGTAGCAGAAATTACGAATGTAGGTGGGAAAGTGTGGATGCTAGAAAACACACAAAAGAAGGAGAGAGACAGAAGTAAAATGTAGAGTTATACCACTTCTGTTCTGCTTTTCTCTAAATATTAAACAAAAACATATGTTGAGAATACATACAATGTTTTGAACAGCTATTATCACAATATGGTCTACTCTCATTTATTTATATTCTTCCAAATTTTTTGTTTGTGAGATCTATTTAAGGTATATATGCAATAATAAAATGTATGCTCAAGATGTATGACTGTGGGGTCAAAACAGTATTCTTAACAAAGATAAGTAAAAATAATACTAGCTAATCATCATAAGAAAATTGCCGGGAAGGATTAAATTGTAGCCCATTTTTGCAGCTGCTGACTGCAGGGCTCTCCAGTTACAAAATTTGTTATCTCCATTAGTCACTTAGAGACAGACACAGGTTGGAAAATACAGATGTTTCCTTTTAAGTACCCCTGAGCAAGGCTAATGCCAAGTGCAAATATAACATGTATGCTGTGCATCTGGTGTGGTTAAATTCGCAATGTGATTATGCATTTTGCACACTGTTTGTTTTCCTAGTTGGTGGTGCGAGCAGAGGAGGCTGAGGATGAAGTCAAGAAGCTGAAAAGAGAGGTATGCGGCAGCTGGCTCTGCAACTTACAGATCATTAAAAATATTTTCATTCATTGCTTCATCCTCAGTCAATACACCATCTATTCTTACTTAGTTTAAAACTTGTGTTATCTCTTATGCTTTGCCACCATTTGCTCATATGAATGCTTTTTCAACTTTCATCTCTTTCTATTCCATTGCTATAGATTAAAAAGCTTAAAAAGAAGGTAAGAAATATAGGTAGTAGTGAATTAAATATCCCTGTCAGTTATTCAAAATAAGTATGTAAGAATTTGAAATTGTTTGTTCTTACATCATTTGTGTACATTTTATTGTACACAAATTTCTGCTGTAGAATTGTTATTTTGTTATTT